GCCTCACGGCATTCCTGTTGAGCGCTACCCAAGGGCAGTTCAAGCGGAGGTGGAGGGACGGGAGGAAGTGTGGAGAGGAGGAGTACAGCAGAAAGGGGAGGAGTAGAGAAGCAGCAGGTGGAGGAGTTGGATTCGGATTCGAAACGATTGCGAAGCAATATTATACCGAGCATGCGACGCCCCCACTGACCTTGAAGACGCACAGGACGACAAGGCAACCGAAGCGCCCGAACAGGAGGAACAACTTTACGAATACTGCATGCCACCACTGTGAAAACCGTAGCCCCCACTGACAGCAATGCAAATACTGCCGCCGAGCGACAGGAAGGTGACATATCACAACTCACCACTCCGAAACTGCAACTTAAGAAAGGCCTTCACCATATTGGTTATATGGCTAACCGCATGTCCCTCGGCACTTTCCGCACGGGAAATTGACCACCTGCACGTATTGATGAATTGAGAGAAGCACCAACAGTAAGTAAAGGAAGCAAAACGCACCGCCTGTCGAGGTGAACCGCCGCACTATCCCAGTAGTACCGCCTAATTAAGCCCACACAGCAAAACCGCATGCGCACACCACCCAAGCCCAGAGTTGGAGAACCCTTGAACGCGTACACATTGAAACCCATACTTGAGATGCCGACAAGAGACCATGCCACCAGCGCTGTGCACGCCTGTTAAAAAAAGCCTCCGGACAACACCCCCCGCATCTGGCAGAGTAAATACACCCCCCGTGCGGTGATGGGCGAAACTGAGCCATGCTTAGCAAAAGCACATATAAGCGTGAGCAATGTTATGGCAGGGAAAATACAGCCCAACATAAATTGAGTATGAAGCACCACCAGAAGGATATGAAAGCAGACCCAACTTGAATGAATAAAACGGTCACTAAGCCCCTGCGGCATGCGACTAGGAATAAAGCCCCTCGCACTCCGACCGACAGGGAGGGCAGAATACATCCTACCAGCTGTTTGCAATACAACCCCAAATTTGATTGATAGAAACGGCCACACAACCCCTGCGGCATGCGACTAGGACAAAAAGCCCCTCGCACTCCAGCCGTCAGGGAGGGCGGAATATACCAGCCAAAAGTGCGACGCCGAAAGCCGTACAGACCACCACGAATATTGCCCACAACAACTGCTGTTTTCAATGTCCGATTTGCCCGCCTTCGCCACCGCGAACATCCGACAAACGAGTGCCAACGGCGCGGTGCCCCCCAAGCGCTACGTGGAAGCGGCGGGCGTGGCGACGAGGGACGACGGTAGCCAAAATGCTACGGACAGCCCTCGAGCCACATGTGCTTGAGGGTGGAGGAGTTGGAGGAGTTGGAAGAGATGGGAGAGTGCGGCGGGGGGGGCCTAGGAGGGGCGGAGGGGTGTGGGGTGACAGATTGGCCCACCTGTCTCCTGCCACCTCTCTCCTCCATCCTCGTTCCTCCTTCTTCCCCGCTACTTCTCACGCCTCATCCTCGTTATCATACTGTACCCATGATCGTGCCAACACTTGTGCTCATAGTACTACCGCCTCAGTTGTGGGGCTCAAATGCGTTTGCAATCTAGGTAAAAGCCTTGCCGAAGCTCACCGTGGCAACTATACACTCATATCCATACGTACACGCAAACGCCTAATCGTTCTCACTGTTGTGCGGATGGTTACTCGTAGCCATAGTCGCACCGCATCCACGCGCACGCGCACCAGGACACATAACAATGCACGTGCATGTGCAGATGATCATGCACACTGTCATACCCACATTCACAATCATACGCATTCGCATGGGTATTCCCAGCACCATATACAATCTATGCATTGTCGTACTCATGCGAACACGACAGCGGCAGTACTCGGCGCGAGGTCCTGGTGGGGATGCGCTCTCAGTCATCACGTTGTGGACAATTGCGACAGTGCAGCCCATGCTCAGCTCCCCACAGGATGCACGAGTCCGGGGCCAGCTGCTCGTCGCAGGCATGCGCTGGATGAGCTATGGCGGCGCTGGCCCGACGCGAGCGCGCTCGTGACGGATTTTTGTTGGTGGGGGAACGCACGCGCTGGCTTGGGGTGCCCCCGAGCTGGGCCCCGTGCGCGCGCTGTTGGCTGGCAGTTTTCGCTGGGCTCCCGCAGAGGGGCCGGATCTCGACAGATTGGTCTGGACGGCCGCGTTTCCTGGTGTTTTGGTCTTGTGCCGGAGTTGACCTGAGAGAGGCCCCGAAGGAAGACGCGGCGCATTTGGTGCAGCCTCCCTTGCACGGCAGACTTCAGGCGTCGCTGCACCTGTCTCTGCTGCGGCCGTGGCTCTCTCCACGGCCACCTGTGATTGCATCTGTAGCTCCGCGAGCCAAAAAATTAGCCTGGGCTGCGGCACGCCCGCTCGAATAATGAACACAAACTTATCCAGTGACAGACTGCGGCGCCCCTCGCGTCTTTACCACGAGGAGGCCACGCTCAAGATGCGATGGCCCGCGCGGGACCCATTTGGATCCCCAAGGTTGGATTGCACGTGTCGTCAGGGATGGGACAGCGAGAGGGGATCGTTTGCAGCCTGGCGAGGTTTCGGTATGGCCTGGTCGTCCCAGGACACAGTTTTTTTTGTTGTTTCTCTCTCTCTCTCTCTCTCTCTCTCTCTGTTTCTCTCGAGGGCATCGAACTGCTTTTGTTGGTCCTGGAGCTCACGCGCGACGTATCCTGAGCCTCACCTTCGGCCTCGGGCTTCCGATCTCTAATCGGACCCACCAGAAGTGAGCACGTCAATGTATGATGTATGCTGGGCGCGGGAAGTTGGGCCAATCCAGCGCGTGAGCTGATCAGGGGACGGAGCGTGTGAACGTATAGGACGTAAGGTTGAGGACTCCACCAACGTTGTGATCGATGTTCCCGCCGTTGCGTCAATCGTCCAGACATAATTGGAAGGCCACCCCATGTCGGACACGTTCGCCCATAGGGGCGTTTGGGGCACGATCTCGCGAACAGGTCTGAGTGAGGACCAGCTGCTGCGTTGAAGCGGGATCTGCTCACATCCGCGGTGCTAGATGTGTCGATCGGGGCGTCGTCACCGTCAAGGAGGAGTTTCTGAAACTTGGGGTTGGTAAGGGATCCGCGTGCGATGCAAAAAGGGTCATCCAATCCCCGTGTTCCCCGTAATATAACCTTAGCAAAATTAGGCGCCATAATGCTTAAGGTAGCAGCTGCAACTTGCAAGCGCCGTACAACTTTCGACCCCTTGCCTGAAAGCGCGCAGTTTGCAGTGATATCCAGCTTGGGAGTTCAACTGCCCTGCACCACCAGCCACCACCCCTTCGGCATTACATGCGCCCCTACCAACTCCCTGGATTTGAGGGGCAGTCGGAGGTGTCGGAGGCGCGTGCGGAAAACAACCAAGTGGAGTGATTGATGTTCCTGGGTTTCTGCCCTCGTCTTGAGTGGCCCCTTGACGCGTCCAGCGTGGCGTCTCGTTTTGCGGCTTTGTGTTCCAGCCCAACGAAACTTCCAGCGGTTGTCGCAGCGTGTTGTTGGGCGCTGCCCCGCGGTCGAGCCTGGCCGTCAGCCCCTTCGACGGCCAGTACTTCCCGCATCTCACCTGACCTTGCACGGGCCTCCTGTGCCTGAAGCCACCTGCGCGCGCCCGTTTCCCGTCGGTTCTTTTCGGTCGGGCCCCATTTCCGACGAAGGCATCTATACACCACCGTGCCAGGCCATGAGGGCGCATACACCATCGTAGGGCCCAGGATGGCCTTGGCCTGGCACGGCGGTGGTGCATATATTCTTTCTGCGTGCCCTTCCCGCGTCCGCGGCCCCTCTCTGCCCTCCCACCCTCTCTAGCGCTCCCAGTCCACGGCGCGGTCCGCCGGCTCCGTAGTCGCGCTCGCGCCCGCCAGCGCTACCGACAACGATGAGAACATATGGTCACCTGTTCTTGCTGCGTGTGTTTCAGGGTGATACTTCGCACGCTTCGGGCTACGCATGCACATTGCACGTAGCATCCGCTTTAGTGCGACTGGGCGGCAGCCCTAGCAGAGGCACCCGTAAGTCGCTTGCATGTCCATCCCCACCACCGCTCCATCTCCATCCCCACGTGGGCGACACAAGAACAGAACGGGGCCGTTTTCGCCGACATCGTCGCGCAAGTTGCCCGCGCAAGGTCGCGCGTACGCGCCCTCGGTTCCAGCGCAACGTGCCGCGCTGGCGGCCAGCGGAAGCCACCGCGCAAGGTCGCTATGTCATCTCCCGTGAGACCCGCTTTTGGTCGTCGTTCACGCTCCTCCTCCCTCCCATCCTCGCCGCTCCCTCGGGTGGAGAGGTGGTCCAAACCACCTGCGACGCCGCACTCTTTTGCTGCGCGGGCCCCCGAATCTTTCTCGCCACACTCCTCAAATTTGTCGTTCCGTCCAGCGTCGTCAACGGGCCGCCAGAGGGCCTGAGCAAGCCTCCCTGAGACCACAGCACCCATGAGTGCTTTCGTGACGCCAGAGGTCTGGGCAGGACATTCCCCCCTGTCCTTCCTCGTCCGGCCACCTCATCCCTCCCCTCCCCTCCCTCCCCTCCTCCTTTCTATCCTGCTCCTCCCTCCTCTACTCTCCCTCTCTCCCTCCCTCCCTCCTCCGCTCTCCCCTCCCCCCTCCCGCCCGCTCACTTTCCCCCCGCCGTGCGACACGCTGAGCACACCGTTGTCGAGGGCGGTGGCCGCGGACTACCCGAAGAAGCTGAAGCAGCCGCGCCGACCAGGGAGGAACGGGGGCGCGCCCAGGGGGGGAAGGCAGAGGGGGCGGGCCTCCTCGGGAGGGACTTCGGCCTCCTCAGAAGCTCCCGCAGCCCTTCCCGGAGAGGCACGCAGAGGGCCCCTCGGAGGGCCTGAGGGCTTCGGAGCCCCCGCCGCCTTCCGAGACGGCCCGCCCCTCTTACTTCCCCTTCCGTCGTGCCGCCGAGAGGAGGGGCGAGGGGCTGAGTGGGCCCGGAAACGGCAGGGCCGTTTTTTCACCGTTTCCGAACAAGTGCCCCTT